TATTTCATTTTTATTTTATTAATTGACAGATAATAAATTCATACCTTTATAGGCTACAGTGTAATGCATTAATACATTTCTACATTGCAGAATGATCAACTCAGGATATTTAGTTTATCTTTTCTCACAAGTGTTTATCATTTCTTTGTAATAAAAATATTCGATATGTCTTCTAAGTGTGTTAATGATACTACACAATAATCTTATAAATATCAAGGAAAACATTAATGTCTTTATTAAATTGACATAAGGTATCTGTAAATTTAATAAAATTCAATCCCAAAGTATTTGACTCTTTAATTTCTATGCTTTCTTTAAAAGTTGTAAAATTTTCTTCATTTTGAATGTGTAAATACCTAGTTAATGGGGGCTGGGGATTTAGCTCAGAGGCACAGTGCCTGCCTGGCAAGGGTGAGGTCATGAGTTCAATTCCCAGTACCAGAAAACAAACAAACATACAAACAAAAAGTCTAGTTAATTTGGACTAGTGATTTTTTGTACTCATGTTTATTAGTTATTGTGGAGAATGCTTTTATTTTATTTTTACTGCCTATCCTAATATAACAAAAACAACCTTTATTTAAATTTTTAAAAAATATTTATACATTCTCTTTTAAAATAATAATAAGGAATATCTATTTTATATCATTTACATACAATAATACCACTAGGAATTTCAAAGAAAGATTACTAAAGAATATTAAGACAAAACAATCAAAAGCATTGTCCACCTCATTCTTCCATTTGCACACTGATCAAGAAATGAGATCAAGATACTAGGAATGTTGAGTCAAACTGATAAGACCTGTTTGACCTTTGTACCTCATACCCTTCCTCTTTTTGATAGCTTAGCTAAGTGACTCATGTGGATTGAGCCAGTCTACAGAGAGACAGAAAGGCTAATCCTTGTTTTCCTGTCCCACAAAGCAGTTCATGGAATTTCCATCCACAGGCCTTTGCTACAAGCATAGAAACTTGGTGTAGTTCTGGAACCACAGTTCCCTGCATAGATTTCTTGTTACTTAGAGAAACTAGGTGCTCCTAGATCCCTCTTAGGCTCACATAAGTGGTTGTTATCATTTCACTCTCTCTGGGAGGCCTCTGTGTACTTGGTTCTGTCCTGGATAAGGGAACCCTTCTACTGGAGCTAGGCCACGATATACACAGAACATACGCCACTGCTGTGGATTAGTGTCTTGAGAACTACATTTTTCCTCTGATTTTTTTGCTTGAAAATAAATCCAGTGCTCTATTTTCACCAAGTGGTGCAAATGCAAATTTGTGTACCCTTTCTTGATAGTAATAATATTACTGAATCATCACTTCACAAACTATTTTGTTTAGTTGGTAAGTATGTAGAAATGAGGAAAAGGAAGAAATATGAGGAAGAAAGATGCTTCCTCTTGTGACAGCAGTCTGTTTTGGTACTACATGTAGGCACTAGCTTATCTGCAGACGTCGGAAAGAGTACAATAGTTTATAAAAAGAAGTTTAAAATTACAGATCCTGTTTAAAAGGCAACCAGTAGCTCTTTTCACCTTCAAAAGCAGACAAACAAGCCTAAAAATACTTGTTGAGCTTTCTTTACTAATTCACCAATGTCTGAGGAAGTTGCTTATGCACATCTAAAATTCCCAGAATCCAGAAAGACAGAAACTGTCCAGGAGCTTCACAGAGTTGGGACAAAAGGTAAGCTTTTGAGCTATAGATTTGTTGGTTACTTAGTAATAATATTAAGTTGGTGTCATTTAAATTGAATTTTTACTTAAAACTTTTATTTTTCACAAAAAAATTAGCATTCATACAAAATGTTTACAAGGGATTTTTTTTAGCACTGACCAGTTCACTGGACACTCAGTCTTTGAAAAATTTTCTATTTTTTAATTCCATCCTCCGGATACATGAGGCATGATAGTACTTCAGAAGACTGGATTGTAAATTCTTTTTTCCTGTATGGAAAGGAACCATAGAACAAGAAACATAGATTGTCTAGGAAAGTTACTGCTATTATTATTTTTTATAATAAAATGCTGACACATATAAGAGAGTGACAAAGACAGAAAGGGGAGAGAGAGTGAGAGAGGAAGAGAGAGAGAGAGAGAGAGAGCGCATTAACTTTGGTCACTGGCTCCCAACTTTTCATCCTTTGTTCCCTTTTTCTCCTCAACTGACTTTATCAGGGTTCTTCTCTCATTGTTCAACAGAGACTATTTATAAAAGTCACTCTTTCTTCCACCCTAGTTTTCACATTTCTATCCTATTCATTTTTCTGCTGAATTCAAAATCCTGAAGAGTCCATCTTTTAAAACATTTTTTTTTTGCTTATTCACCTGGACACATCCTCAGGATTTTTGCTCTCTCTGTGGCTTTGTTGGGGGCATTGTGTGTTTATTTGGTCTGGTCTGGGGTTTTGCTTTTGTTGTTACTCTTCCCTCTATAACAAACTCTATTATACTGAATCCTCCAGGGCTGTGCTCCAGTTCTCCTTTTCTTGTGTCACTAAATATATTCCCATAAGTTATCTTGTTCAGTCATTTACCTCCAAATGCAATAACAGCCAAATACCTCCTTCTGACCTATCTCCTTATGCAATGCAAAGCCCTTTTCCCATTTCCACATGGAGTTCTCATTTCATTCCTTGATGTCCTCAAAAATCATTTTTCACAATGGCTACAGCTCTTTAGCTGCTCTGAATTTATTGTTCCTGAGATAAAAACTTTCCCATCAAATTACAGAGTTCAAACCAAATATTCCTGCCTGTAATTTTTTTTCACTTATTTTGCGTGCTGCTTTCCATTGAACTACTTTCTATAACTCGGTTTCAGATTTCTGTACCTCATAGTCCAGATTGAAATGAGCCTATCACTTCATTTCCTCACTATAAAATGTATGTCCACAAGAACAGTCTTGTATGTCCTGGTACTTTTATATTATTAGCATCCACAAGATTGTCCCATATATAGAGGTACTCACTATATAACTTTAAAGTGATTGAATATATACAAAAATGAAAAATAATATGTATAAAAATGATAGCACTTGATTTTATAATTCTAACCTTACAGAAGATCTTGGTTCTTTTACTAATAATAGTTTTCTGAGATCTAAACAAATTTTCTCAATTCAATTCTTTCTGGATTTTACAATATTGTCCTACCAACTGCAAGGTGTAAAACATAGTTCAGAAGTACAGTCAAATTATCACATTATCCTTGAACTGAAATAGCATGATTTTCTCATGATGATAATTTAAGTCGTGAAAATTTGATAATAATTCATAATATGCATTTCATATTTTTTTATGGGGAAATGATGTTTTCCAGGCCATACTGTCCAATTAAACAAAGAAGCATTCAATAACAATTCTTGCTATAAACCTAAAAAATGCAAAATTTTAATGAGGAATTTGCACAGAAGTGCTGATGAGTATTCCCCAAGTCATTAGGAAGAAACTGCCAAGCTGAGAGCATTGTGTGGGGAAACACAAGCCCTGAAGTTGTTTTATTTCACAAACCATAGCGCTCTGCCCAGGGAAAGGATACTCAGATTAGTGTCTCTGTTCACTCTTCTCACCTGTGAGCAGTAAGATACACTGTATTGACTGGTTTTTCCGCCCTGTCTTTTATACACTGTGGCTGCCTCTTCATTTCTGGAAGCACTCCACAAGTTAACACTCTTGCTTACGAGAACCATTTCACATGAAAAACTAACCATTTCTCTCTTATTCTTGGTTTAATCTAGTAAAAGATTTTTAAAAATATCTTTGAATTCTCTAGCAAATCAGGCTCATTCACAAGGTGGTATTAGGAAATAAGTAAAGACAGAATGGGTGAATGACATTCATTGTGTTTCATTTCTAAAGTTCTTTGCTAATTTTGCTTTCCACAGCATGTCCTGCTCATTCCCATACATGGCGTCAGACAGCCTTCACTCTGACTCTTATATGCCTTTTGCTGCTCATTGGACTAGGAATCTTAGGAAGTATATGTATGTATTACCGATCTTGTGATTGAAAGTGTCTAGAATTTTGTGTGTTTGATATCCAGAGTTTATTCTTTGAATGGGAGCTTTGTAGGAATAGAGATTATATTATAAAACAGTGGGTAAACTTATTGTTTCCCTCCTTCTGTAGAGTACCTTTTCCCATAACCTTTCGTATTTTAAACACTACATCTGTAAATGTTTTTAAAGTTCCTAATTTAATTGATTGTTTGCCATTCCCCCACATCTGCAGTTTATACCACTTTGAAGATAGAAACAGAAAAACTGAATAAACTGGAAAATTTCAAAGAAGAACTTCAGAGAAACATTTCCCTCCAACTGATAGCTAACATGAATAAGTCTGAAAATATAAGAAATCTCTCTATTGCTCTGCAAGATTTGGCCACCAAATTATGTCGTGAGCTGAATAGAGAAGAACCAGGTAGTCCTGTATTACTTTGAGAGTTATTTACTAGACAATGAATAATTAAACTGCATCTCTTGCTAGCAATCTTTCAATATGGGCTCATTACAGTATTCGAGGGAAGGAATTAAATGTGGTGGGTAGAATACTCACATATTTCCATAGAGTTAGAGGAAAGAAAAGTAATAATTGCTGCAAGTCACCAGATTATCCGGTGATGAGAATAAAACACAGTTTCTCTAATCTACAATTTACTACTCTTCTGGGAACTGGGATAAATCAATGATAGATTAAATCTTATAGATTATCTCATTTGTAAATTTCAGTCAATGATTGATGACTAAAAGGCCATAGGAAAGAAATAAACATCAGGTTTACACTTGAAATTGGGTAGAACTGGTCTTAAATAGCTCTATATATTTCATTAAGTTTTGTGATTAAAGTATGTTTCTAAAGATGGTGAGAAGCTGCTCTGGTATTCAAATTGGAGAAGGCAGGATTGATACAGATATGTGGGACTGATTCTCACCATACAGAATGCTTCCTGTGATTAGTTTTTCTTGCCATACATAAATTTAAAAATAAAAAGGAAGATTTACCGGGTGTCATGATATAGGAATTTACACTTTAAGTGTTTAACTTAAATTTTTTGTTCAAGTTATGTGTCATACACTTTGTGATGATATATAAGGATCTTGAATACAGGATTCATTCTCTTTCTCTTTGACTTAAAAAGAAAAACCAGTAAATTTGTTCCATGTCATATAGAGAGTAAAGGAAATAATAACAATGATGGAGTTTGTCATAAAACCAAATAAACCTATGTTCTTCTTGCAGGGCACAAATGTAAACCTTGCCCAAACAGTTGGATGTGGTACAAGAATAACTGTTATTTCTTATCTGAAACATATCAAACATGGCAAGAGGGTGAAATATCATGTTCTGCTCAGAACGCCAGCTTGTTGCAGATTGAGGAGAATAGTACATTGGTAAACTTTTATATCTCTGTCACTGTGAGGGAAGAACGCCCTTTTTCCCATTCCAGAGTAGACAGGAAGAGCGCGTTGGCAAGGACACACACTCATGATTCTGTCTTATTTAAGTTAGGAGAGATGTGACTGAGACTTTGCACATTTATTGCAGAGATTCACAGCTGAAGAAAACCCTATAAATCCATAGTTTAGGACCTTCGCGTACTATAGTCTTTTAGAAGTTCATGGGTTAATAAATGGTGCCCAGACTCTTCAGGTCTGTACATTTCCAAGTTGGAATTCTGGAATCAAGTCTCATAACATGGTTTCAGAATATTTTCTACAAACACAGAATCTGGAGACCATTTCTGAAAATCACCAACTCCACTCCATCAAAGCTACACAGTAGTTTGGCAAATTCCAAACAAGTACGTTGCACTGAGTCACAGCAAAAATGAAATCTCTTAGAGTTTTATTTTTTTCTCTCCTTCTTTTCCAGGAGAAATAACTTCTGCATATTTCACTTATCGCTTAGCATTTCTGGTCTTCCCAGTAGTAATTATATTTTTAAGTAAAATTATATTTTCTAAAAGTCTCAACTTCCCTAGTGTAAGAAATATTTCATCCTTTAATGAACAGGGAGAAAGCAATCTATAATCTCTCTCTCCAAGATAATTTTCAAATGACTTATCTGTAATTACTCCCTTAAAAAATGAATTCTTTTAAAGCCTAGAATAAAAGCAAAATATTCATTCCTTTGGGTATAAAATTTGGGACTAATCCTGAAGTCTCTTCTATAACTGTATTGTCTTTCTTCTTTTTCTATTAACTCCTGTTTATGGCCCTTAACTGCCTCCTTTCTCTCTGGACTAAATGTTTCCTGGTCAAATATTTGAATCCAAATATTATGAACTTTTAATTATGGATCAACTAATGGTCCTTTGTTCAGGTGAGACAGGAAGTACTACTGTAAAATGTGAAATATTACAGTAAGAAATGCTTTCAATTTCTTTTATTTTTCTCAATTTCTTTTAAATAGCATTGAAAATAGTAGCTTAATGTAAAAAATGTTATCTTCAGTAATTTGTAACAAATTGCTATTGAGGTAATGCAGAAAAGTGAGAGACAGTTTCAAAAGAAACCATTTCTATTACTATAGGAATTTATAAAATCCAAAAAACTATATAGTTATTGGCTGGGATTACCACCAAAACAAGATGACAAAAACTCAGAGGAAGTGGATGAAAACATTATCTCCTCAGACAAGTGAGTCTTGATTCTTGTTGAATATTTGTAGTCGGGTTCAGATAGGGATGCATTCCTCAGGAGCAGAGTAGATTGCAATTCGAACCAGCTTCACCTGAGATTCCATTCTTTACTGTCCTCTCTGACATTAGCCTTTCTTTGCAGAAAATTGCCACAAATACCATTCTTTTGATAATAACTAATGTTCCCTTAGTAGCCACTATTATTAGTAAGTCTTTCTACAAATAATGCTTGTATGCAAGAAAATTAGAGAAGCCAACAAAATTCACTGGACCATAATAAGTATAAAATTTTGGGATCAGTTCTAGGATTTGAAGATAAATGAAAGAGTCATCTTTAAGTTTACTGAAGCATAAATAGTATGTGCAGACTGATTGAATTTTTCAACGGAGAAAAGAAGCTAGTGTGATAAATGTTTAAACTAGAATACACAGAGTAAGCAAATATTAGTTTTGCTTTGAAAGTGCTGTCATCACTGATATTTAAAATAAAAAATATTGACTGAAATATTTATAGATGAATGAGAAGAGCCTTTCAGTATAAAGAATAATATATGCTCCAGCATATTATATTGTTTACATGGTCTATGTACATATCATGGTATATTAAAGAATGTGTTGTATAATCTATTTAGGAGTGTGACTACAAATATACTATTATAAATGAATTTGTACATTGTATTTATTCTGCTTGTAAAGGGAGAAAGAATGGCTTTAGGTACAAAAGTGTCAAAATTCCCTTCTTATTTTATACTCCCTAAAATTTAAAAATCCCTAAATAAGCGCACAGTATTAAAGAAAGATTCCAGAATCTCCACCTGCTGGGTACCCTTTTTTTCAGATACTCCTAAAAGCTCAGCATTTATCACTGGTCAGCTGAGGGCACATCTGGCAGGGACAGAAGTTAGACCAACACTGTTGGAATGGTACCCTGCTGCATCAAAATAGTGAGATTTCTGCATACTCGCCACTCCAGGCCATACAGGAAATATGAATATTTGTTTATGTTCTATATTTCAGACAGCAATAACAGTTATAGGAGTGTGGGTCATAAAGACAAGATGACTCTGTATTTGATCAATGGCTGTCAGAAGACAGAATGGAAAATAAGATGCGTACAAATGAAAAGATGGACATAGATCTTAAAGGTTTCACTTAGGTGAAGGTAAAGATAATGTGTGTATTAGGAGAGTGTACAGGTGGAAGTTTGTTTTAAAAAGGCAGAAGCTACATGGGTTTGTAATGATGGCAGATGGAAAGGCAATTTGTAATGGAATAAAATCATGCTGAACTTAAGGTTCATAGGTTAATCTCTGGTTTTGATGATTATGGAAAACAACTGAAGAAATAAATTTGCTGCTGAGGTAATTAGAGTAGAAAATTTTATGAAATAACATTATTTTAATCATGTTAGACATGGAGGTGGGTCCTACATTTGGAAGTAAATGACAGCAAGCATTCCAGATGTGGAAAAGTAGGGTAAATGGGAAGCAGGGTGTGGGAATAAGGCAGTGTTTCACATGATATATCTATTATTTAAAATGACCAATTTGGACACTCTTGATACTTTGAGCACAAATTCAACTTTACCTTAGACAATGGAGGCCCTAGAGACAGTAAAGTTATGTTGCAAAAGTATTTTCTTTTCTGTTAATGTGTTTTAATTGTCCAAATTTCCAAGTGTAAAATTTTTCTCTTTCAGGCTTAAGAGAAACATGGATAAGATGCATTGTCGCTATATATATGGAACAAAGTTTTTTTACGCTTCCTGCACAGAGAAATATAAGGTTGCTTGTGAGAAGAAGGCCAATTCAGTGAAGGTTGAAAGCGTGATAACAAGTGAAGACACAGATGGAAGAATATAGTTAATTGTTTTGCTTCAGATTTTATCTTGCAGTGGAAGAAATGCACAATTTCTGAATAGTAAAAGGGATACACATTTTGTGATTAAGTTTCTACCTCTTTCCTAACATTTATGTCTTTGTACTTTCTCCTACGTCAAACCTTATCATCTACGTACAGCCCCAAAACTGTTCAGAATAAAGGCAGCACTTGCTGGTGGATACAGGAATCTGATGCCCTCCCCTGCTGCTTTTGTAGTAATAAACCAAGTAAATTTCAGTTTTACAAAGGAAAGAAAATTAAACCTAGAAATACAGAAAAAGAATAATACAACTCACATGGATTTATTCCAATAATAGAGGTTGATTAACAGTTTGAAAGATGAGTAAAAACATTTCAACAAATATAGAAAAAGTATTTGGTGATACTTGCTATGGTTTAGATTTAAAATGTTCTCCAAAATCTCACGTATTCAGAGATGGGGGTGGCTATACTCATCAGTGGTTTAATACATTGGTGAGGTCATGTCTGAATGTGCTGGTAAAAGACTGAGCCTGGTCAAAGATGTGGGTCATTTCAGTACAGACTCGGGTGTGTTCCTGTCCTTAGCTTCTCCCTTCTCTCGCTGCTCTCTGATTTTTTTTTTGTTTGTTTGTTTTTGTTTTTCTCTGGTACCGGGAACCGAACTCACGACCTTGCGCTTGCCAGGCAGGCGCTTTGCCGCTGAGCTAAATCCCCAACACCCTCTGCTCTCTGATTGCCATGATGTGAGCAGCTTTCTTCCACCGTACCATTTCGCAGAGGGAAATAACCTCTGACCACTGTGAACCAAAATAAACCTCTCTTCCTAAGCTGTAGGTGTTGGGTACTTTTTGTAGCAACAGGAAAGTGATTAACACAGATCATAGGACTGGTGCTAACAGCCTGAGGTACGAAGACAATGCTGCAGCAGTCAGACTCCTGGGACCTCATAAGTAAGCAGGGGTAGTAATCTTATTCTCAGACAAAATGAACTTCAACTAACACTGACCACAGGAGGCAAAGTCACTATGTATTAATCAAGAAAACAATTAAACACAAAAAGATAACAATTGTAAATATATATACACCAAATTCTGGTGTAATCAACAATAAAACAAACACTGCTAGACATAAAAGAGCAAATAAACAATAATACAATGATAATGGGAGACCTCAGTACCCCACTTTCACAAACAGACCAACTCAACAAAGAACTAAATATCAGAGCTGAACCATACCTTTAAACAAATGGATTTAGTGGATGTCTACAATTTTATGCCATACTGCAACAGAATACATATTATTCTCAGCAACATACAAAGCTTTTACCAAAATAGGCCACACACTAGCTCACAAAGCTGGTATAAGTAAATACAAAAGAATCAGTACTATACCATATATACATGTACTATCATATCATAGAACACTGAAACTAAAAACAAAATAAATGCAGAAATTTTATAAATTCCTGGATATTAAGTAACACTTGCTTACACAATCAGTGAGTCACCGAAGAAATCAAGGAGGAAATTAAAGATTCCCAGATTCAAATGATAATGTTGGTTTGCAAAATGCTGACAAATATAATTCAGAAAATCACCAAAAAGAGCATACCTCATGATCAAGTAAGCTTCATTCCAGAAATGCAAGCATGGTTTAATATCTGCAAATTAATAAATGTAATACACCACCTGAACAGAAGCAGGGAAAAAAAAATCACATGATCCCATCAAAAGATGTAGAAAAAGCCTGTGACAAAATGCAACATCTAGCCTGAAGAAACAGGTAGAGAGGACACTAATTTCACAAAAATGATTTATAGTAAACCTACTACTAAATCATATCAAGAGAAAGGCTGAAAGTTTTCCTTCTAAAATCAAGAACAAGAAAAGGCTGTCCACTCTCACCACTCCCATTCAACATAGTACACCAAATGTTAGCCATAATAATCAGGCAAGAGAAAAAAATAAAAGAATATATTCAGAAAAGGAAGAGATCAGATTACCATCTTCTTCATTCGACTTTTATTAGTACATGTTCACAGTATATGATAGTTACATTCACTACAGGGGATTTGTACATGTACATAACAAGTTTCAGTTTTCAATTATTTTGCCCCTTCCCTCTGTCCCTCTTTAGTTTTCCAGCATAGTATTCATTTATTTTATGAGGCTTTATAGAGTTAATTATGTTTTACACAGATTAAAAACCAGACTTATAGACCAAAGAACATACCAAATATGTAAGAAAATTGTACTAAGTCAAAGTACACTTTTGGATACATTATCTGTGCTGGACTATAATATTTTTTTCTCTATTTTTTCCTACTATCTGATATATTGTTTTCATATAAGATAAATAATGTGATATCTAAGGTCGTGTATCTGTGTTACTTTGCTTAACATCTTAACATTATGGTCTCAAAATAACTCGTTTATCCTGCATTATTTCAGAGTAGTACTTCATTGTATATAAATACCGCATTTTCTTTATCCATTCATCAGCTGATGTTTGCTGTAGCTTGGCTGTTTCCAAGAATTTCACTGCTATACACATGGGTGTGAATACATCACTACAGTATGATGTATTTAACTCTTTTGGGAAGATACCTAGAAGGGGAAAAGCTGCGTCAGATGAAATTTTTATTTTTAGTTTTCTGAGGAATCTTCATACTGATATCCATAGTGATTGTATCATTTTACAGAGTCAAAAACAATGGAGAAGAGTTTCTCCCCAGAGCCTCACTAGCATTCATTATTAATTGATTTCTTTATGATAACCATGCTTTCTGGAGTGAGGTGAAATCTCAATGTTGTTTTAATTTGTATTTCTCAGGTGGCCAGAGATGTTGAACATTTTTTCATGCATCTATTAGCTGTTTGTATTTATTCATTTCAGATGACCAGGATTTTTTTTATTTCTTTATATATGCTAGATATTAGTCTCCTTTAAGGAGTAGCTGGCCAAAATTTTTCCCATTGCTTACTGTTTCTTCACTCTGTTAGTGGTTTTCTTTTCTGTGCAGACCCTTTTAAATTTGATGTGATCCTACTTGTTGATATTTTGTATTATTTCTTGTGTAACTGGGTTTTTGTTCAGAGAGTACCATTTGACCCAGCTATTCCTAGAAGAATTAAAAACATTGTACCATAGAGATATATGTGCACCCATGTGTATAGTAGTACAATTTGTAACAGCTAGATTTTAGAAAAAAACCCAAATGCCCATCAATCTAGGAATGGATAATAAGGATGTGATTTTTTATACAATGGAGTACTATTTAGCCATTAAGAAGGATATATTTGAGACTTGTATGGGTAAATGGATGCAACTCAAGACCAAACTCGTAACTGAAATAAGCCAGAAGTGCATGTGCAAACGTCATATTGTCTCCCTAGTGTGAGAAGCTGAAAGAGTAAAGAAAATCCAAAATGTACAATAGACATTGTGAAATGGGAAGAAACCGTTCAAAAGGAAAGAGAAACTGGGATGGGGATAAGAGAAAAGAAGTAAGGGAAAAGAAAAACTTACACACACACAATAGTTAATCTAGTTATACTACTAACTTCTCTTAGTTCATTGGAAAGAAAGGTTCGTGCTAATATTGTTTGGACAATTGAATGTCTATATTTTGTACCCTAAGTAACTAAGTTAAAGATAAAAATATGAAATGTATTAACCATTGTTACTCTTCTATTGTTTTGAAATTTTGTTTTATTTACTGCTTAAAATAAAAATTTAAAAAACAAACAAAAAAAGGTTGTTTTGTAATTTGTTCAAGCGGATTAATTGTTTCTGTGCTAATAGTTAAATTTTTGATCCACTTTGATTTTAGTTTAGTGCATGGTCAGAGATATGAATCTAGGTTCACCATTCAGCATGTGGGTAGCCAGTTTACCCCAGCATCATTTGTTAAACAGGCTATCTTTCTTCCAGGAAAATGACTTGGACCCTTTGTTAAAGATAACATAGCTAATGTGCCTGGAGTTGCTTCCATATCTTTATTCTGCTCCATTCATCCATGAGTCTGTTTTTCTTTTGCAAATATGATGCTGTTTTTATTGCTGTAGCTTTGTAGTATAACTTTAAGTCTGAGACTGTGATGCCCCTCTCTTGCCCTTGTTACCCAAACTTTCTTTTTGTATTCTAGGTCTCTTCTGGTTCTACATGAATTCTAGGATTTCCTTTTCCAGTTCTGTAAACAATGTTCTTAGTGTTTTGATTGGGATTAGATTAAATCTACATAACAGCTTTGGAAGTATGGCCATTTTAACAATATTGGATCTACCTATCCAGGAGCAGAAGGTATCTTTCCTTTTGCTGATGTCTTCTTCAATCTCCTTTTTCAGGGTACTATAGTTTTCATTGTAGAGGTAGGTCTTTCACTTCCTTAGGTTAATTCTAAGTATTTCATTTATATTGATATTGATATATTGTGAAGGGTATTGTTTCCCCTATTTCCCTCTAAGAGAGTTTGTTATTGGTGTGAAAGAATGCTATTGACTTCTGAGTGCTGACTTCGTGTCCTGCTATGCTACTGAATTTGGATAGTAGTTTTAGATGTCTTTTGGTAGAATTTTTGGGGTATTCTATGTAAAGGATCATCTCATCAGAATATAATGATAATTTAATGTTTTTTTCCCTGCCTATTCTATTTTATTTCTCTTGCTTTATTGCTTTAGCTAGTGTTTAGAGAACTACATTGAAGAGGAGTAGAGATAGCAGATATCTTTGTCTCGTTCCTGATTTTAGAGGAAAAGCATTCAGCTTCTCTCTACTTAATATGATGTGGGCCATTGGTGGCTTTTATCATATTGAGATAAAGTCCTTCTCTATTTTTATTTTCTTTAGTGTTTTTTAATCACGAATGGATATTGGATTTTGTCAAATGCCTTTTCTGCATCTATAAGACAATCATGTAACTTTTGTACTTGTTCCTGTTAATGTGGTGTATCATATTTAGAGCCATCCTTGTATTGCTGGAATTATTCCTACTTGGTCATGATGTATGATTTTTTATTGATATGCTGCATTCTGTTTGCCGGTAGATTGGTACCATGGCTCACAAGCTTGATTCTGTCCATGCTTTTTGGTTGCAAATGGAGTTGGATGAGAATAGAATCAAATTTAATGGTTAGGTTCAGTGTTGACCTGTGGGGAATTTTAATTAGGTCCTTGTCCAGTTCAGTCTGTGACCAGATTCATGGA